TAACAATTATTCAAAATTAGAAAAAAATTAGTTATCACATTATTAAGTGTTCGAAATCACCACCAGCAACTGTAATACAATAATAAAGATTTAGTTTAAAATGGCGTCGTACGTTTTGTAAAATTTCTGGGGTAAATTTTGGATTTCAAATGACCCCTCAAGAAAAAATCTGATGGCGACATATCTGGTGATCTGGCTCGTCATTCGATAGGACGTTTAAGTCCAATTCATTTACCAGAGAACCTAAGGTCCAAGAATTGTCTAAATTTCTGTGCAAAATGAGGAGGAGCCCCGTCTTGTTGGAATATCACATTTTTATTGCTAACTTTTGATCAATGTCTGCATAATTTCTTATTTATTACAGATCCAGTCTCTCGAATTTGGTTGACTAAACCTTACCCTTATGAGTGATGAACATGCTGCTGAGCTGTTGTGAACACAGACTCGCCATTTAAAAAATCGAAACAATTTCCACCTTTCCCGTTATAATGTAAAACATTATTATTTTTGAGTTAGCACAAAATTAAACAAGTTACATTTAACATACTCACAAACTTGCTTATTGCACTTATGCACTAGTGTCAGATCGAAATTTCTCTGGAACTACTGATCACTCTTCAAAAATAAAAACACAGAATGAACATTCCTTTCGAACTATCTAACCTTTACAAACTCCTTCGCGTTTAAAATTTTTCGACGTGAAATTCACCCCCTGCTCAGGATTGAAGTTACGTAAATAATATTATTTAATTTAGATGTCCCCCTTAAAACTAAAGTTGACGTATTTGAATGTTTCTGTCGTTAAGTGGCATTGACCGTTTTCAGTCGACCACCCTGTATAAAGAGAATCAACTAGCAATTAATTACGACCATTAAAAACCCGAAAGTTTTCGTCTTTTAAAACATTAATATGAAAGGAAGTTGTGAGTTATGCGGCGGAGACCCACTGTGGAAAGTGTTTCCAACTTCACCACCGAATAAGTAGCGGTTGGCACGCATAGCGTGGATTTTCTCAAGTTGCGGTCGATTCTCATTGTATCTAAATGCTCTCTAGTCTCTGAGTTTTTAATGAGGTCCCTTTATCCAATTAAAACAACGCTTACGTATCGAAATGAAAAATGAAGCTGAAACCGATGGAGATAAAATCCTTGTACGATATAAAGGTAATTCGTCAGGATTTTTCCAAATCATATCTGTTAGCAGGGTTCAGCGCTCTCTTTGTGTTCTCACACATTTCATGTCTCTAGAGAAATACAATCAGCCATTCCTACGAACGGTCAATCTGCTCGGACGTTGGCCGTCAGAACGTCGGCTTCCCCTACAAAAGATTTGACTCCTGCTATCGTAAATATGAAAGAGCATAGTCCTTTTCGCGGTACCGCTTTCGTTTATGTAAATTTGTGCGTGGAATACGTCGTCACGTTACTCATCACCGTATACGGCCCCACGTCATTAGATAGCGAACGTTATATAACGTTAATTGGGCCATAAATACCGTCGTTAACCTTTTACTACTTCTAAGTTGATGTTCGTCAAAGTTATCGTCCTCTACCGATAAATGGATTATTTAAAATTCCCATTACGACCTGTAAATGTAGTCTACAGTTCCTCGGTTAATGGTTATTTTGATGGTTGCCAAAGACGAGGGATTTATAAATAAATAATTTTTATATACACCTACCATAAATTACCAAACATCAATCACTTGTGTTAAGAGAAACGAATTATTATTTTAAGCACTAAGACGATTCAGTAAAACCCTTGCCAGTGGTTCCTAAAAGCACTCTGTCGATGCAATCAGAATAACTTGTAGCCCATAATTCGAATGCAAGAGCGGTAATGTAAACGTCTTGTAGAACTTGTAAGACTACTCCTTTGTGTGCCTGATAACCGTTAGAAGAGAAAAAGTACCTTTAAAACGACCACATTGCTTCCTCATCCAAATTCTAGAAGGAACGAACAAGACAAGAGCAACCAGATAGTAGATATTCATATATAAATATATAAAACTTCCATTTGGAAAATAGCGCTCATGATATATTCAGTAGCGGACAGTCTTTTTTCGAATGCATATACAATCCTTATAGACGAAACTGACTCGTCTTGCGGCTTTTCAAGAAGCCCCAGTTGAGAAAGTGAACATTTCGGACGTGACAAAATCTCCGCAGGGACTTTGATGGCGTTTTCCTCTTTCCACGAAGAAAAATTGTTATACCTACATATATTTATTCATCAGTCAACGTTACAATGGAAATAAATATTTTCTGATGCCCCTCTTTCAAACGACGAAAATATCTCTTACCCAGAAATTTCTGTCTCGCGAACAAATACTTGTATAAAGGAATCAAACGACATTCGAGATGCTAATACGGAACTGATCCTCCAACCCAACGAAAAGGCGGGGCGTGCAGTTCCCTTTCGTAAAGTTCCTATAACCCCCTAAGACCTAAGAACGCCGTGGAGACAGATCGCCGCTCAGTATTCTCAAATTATATTACCGCAAACTCCGTTTCTACGTGAGCCTATTGTCAAATAAATAAATAGCATTTGTATAATGTTACATTTTAAAATACCCTTTGCATAATGTACCTACTTCGATCACTTTAGAGGGATGTGATCTGTATGACAAAAATCTACTCGCATACTTTATCCAAATTTCATAAAAGGGCGTACTAGCTTAATCTATTGGGTGATTATATTTCATTTGCAGTGACATCAGCAACAATTTCTTCAGAAATGGTGCACGCATAATAAACATAAAGGTCGAGGATCCCACTTAATGCAATTTTAATTGCTGATTCGTTACTTAAAACAGGTTACAGATTCAATAAAAGCACAATATTCGGCCAGCAAGCGTTAATTGCGACGGTAAAGATCCTAATGATAGGTAATAATCGGATTTCAATATTTATCTACAATTCAACAATAAATCACAAGAAGTTCATCAAGCATGTGTGATCTCGCCCCCTATCCCATCACTTCTTTGGTTTTTGGATTTATAGTTATTATCACCCAAGCAAAACATATTATAAATAGAAAGGTTAATTAGAAGACCCTCTTGTGAACACATAAATAAATACTTAATAAAACAATGTAAAGGCATGATCACCTGTAGAATATAACAAACAAACATAATTCAGTAGTGATACTCAAAACAAAAGCATGAAATTACGTTTTGCCTCATTAACAAATATTTTATGCAAAATGTAAATACATAATAACAAAAGCTATTAGCTAGACCCCCATTAGTCAAACCCAGCTTGGATTCGAATACCGTTACCGCTGCTAAGCTTTATTGTGAAAAATCCCTCTTCCCCACATCTGCGCAGAAAGGTCAAAATCGAAGATTTTTTTGGTTGTTGTATACACAGAGCGTTTCGTATTTTTTTCACATACCTACTTCCATTTAGTTGTAAGAGGTGTTACCTAACAGTAGAGGTATGTTACCACATTGTTTTGATCATATTTCACACATCTCAAAAGAAATTTCTAAAGAGAGCTACAAGGTACTTGTTGTTAGAGTAGTATTCCCCAAACATCTATCACCAAGTGAAACCGTTAGGATGACGTGCTGACCTTCCCAAACGTTCTAAAGAATATGTACTTATCGATAACAGCTATTAGATTTTATTAGAAACAAAATTCCATTTCCGATAGCATCATTTAAGGTGTTATGCTTTGTAACAGTTAGTCACTTTGCTGTTTCAAAAATTTATTTTCAAATTTGAGTTTTGTTAAAGCATCTCCAGATGTACCCCTTGACAGCGAACGTGAACGAAAGTACAGTGCGATCAATCATGCGCCACTTCAATGATTAATGACGTTAGTAATCATTTGCCGCAACAGGCGTGGTGCGCCAATACTAAAACATAACCTTAAACTTTTTCAAAACAAAGTAAATTTTTGACGTTTGACCATGTTTAACCTAAATCTACGATTTAACCATCATAAAAGTCTTGGAGGTAGAGCGCTACTGTGAGAGAAGGTACTACCGAGGAATCTAGGGGGACGCATCCTCCAGTAGACTAACATTCGAATACATCTTTCCAAAGCCTACCGTGAGAGTGCAAGGAATTATCCATTTCTTCTTTGCGGAGGAGACTGCTGAGGGGTTCTATATAAATCAATGCCGCAGCAGTAGTGGTGGGCGAAGAAGAAAGCTGATGGGTTTGAGGCAGTTAAAAATGAAAAACTTAAAGATGTGGCAGAAAAGAAAAAAGAACATTGAGACAGTTTAGAGAGTTTCTGAAGAAATCAAGGAAGCATAGGAAAATGAAAATGCCCAAGATGTTTGGGGACTTTGAGAGAGTCGAAAGTTATGGTAAAGTTCGTGAAGTTTAGGAAACTAACGCTCTAAAGTGTCGAAGAAGATGTAAATGTACGCAAAGAAAGCGATAATTCCGAAGAGAGCCAAGGCGCAATTCATTCCGCTTCTCACAACAAGGTCCATACTCCAAAGAAAGTAACAGTCGACATTTTTTAACTTCACCAGTAACTTCGCGATCTAATTTTCGTAACGGCACTTTAATTAGTGTCGCTCATACTTTTTACTTCGCTGATTATGTTGCCGCATAAAAAACCCATACGGACCCAAGGAAACAGCAAGCCTCATCTCCACCCGTAGGGCTTCGAGCTTCCGCAACACTTTCCAACCTACCACGAACGAATTTGTTATTTGATCTAATCTGTATCCTCGTAGAAAAACCGAAACGGAACTAACGCAATTCTCGCGAAGCTGGGGCATTTTTAACCGCACTTCGTTGCCGTCCTTCAGTCTACTATTTTTATGAAGCGGTACATATGCTATTTTACCTATATATAAAACTCGAAAAATTTAAACCGCGTAGCGGGCTCCCGTTACACACGCTACTTGAGGTTTGCTGCATAAGATACAGGCCAGGAAGTTACATAGTGCATTCTTAACAATGGCGCTGTAAAAAAGCGTACATTCAAAGCCACTTTATAGTAGAAATATTAAATTACACTTTCAACGGGACTAGTCACACATTGACAATTTCACCTTCTGCATAGATACACATTGCGGGATTGCTTGTATTAGCCTCTGATTCAAGTAGCAGTATATTAACTTTCCAAAACCATCCTGAAATTGGAAGGACGCTTAAAGCGCCCCCGTCAATAGTTGCATTTTTGCAAGTGTACACCCCCTGAAACATAAAACCGCTGAAATTCCTACCAAGTTCTCAGCTCTTACTTTCTTGTAGGGGCAGTTGAGGGCCGGTTCCATATTGTTCACAAATCCGGTCCAAGGTTTGCTCTTTTCACCCGCCAATCTACAAATATCTTTAATGGTGACGTCTTGGTAAGGTTCGCAGGAGTCTAGGCTTTCTTTGGACTTGCAACGTTCAAATTGGAGAACAAGCTGAAATAGTGGACATCACCGCCATAAACAATTGTTGCACTATTTACCTTTACGTTCGGTTGGATATCTCTTTTAACGATAATTCGTGTGCCAATGTAGTAGACCCTACGATTTTGTGTAAACTGTGTCCCATCAACAAGCATAGGAGAATTTCTGTGTTGAGGACAATTAACAAAACGATGAATCTTCACAGTCTTCTCGAACTAAAATAGAACTTCAACTTAGTTTTCAATTCGGCGTTGGTTTTACCGGTAGTCCCAAAACACCCAAGAATGCAACCGAGAACCCTATCACGTGAGCGATCATCTTCATCATTGATACCTTGCACTGAATTCGATCATGGGTTTATATAAAACATGGGAAACAGTAGATAACAATCGATATCAAATTTTGTTTGGTCTTCACATTTTATATAATATCCATTTGCATTGTCCTCTATCACAAACGTAATGAATCATCCTAATTTTTAATATTCATCTGGTTATTATATTATGTTGCCGCTATTAGTAGACCGGAAAAATTAATGCTCGTTTTACTTAATTTTTTTTGTAAATGTCAAAGTTTCAAGTTTCAAGGTTACTGGAAAGATTGAATGGTTTAATGATCCATGCCATGTATATATACAGGGTGACAATTTGAAAACTTACCACCCCCCATATCTTAGTAAATAAACGAGATATTTAAAAAAATCAAAATCCGTTTCGGTAATTCGGAGGGGGAATCACAATGACATAGTTGGCGACGCACCCCCTCAACCCCCTGCGCCCCAGCCACCCCAACTTTTAAATCTTAAATAGTGACCCCCCATGTGTGATACGTCGTTGGAAAGCTCTGAAAAAATGCTTTCCAACCATACCAAATAGCATTACATTTAGGTTAGTAATTATCGTGCAAATCAAAAAATAAACATGGAAAATCGTATTTAACTTGAACTTCCAAAGCCGACTCGACAGCAACTCATTTTTGATCGCCAGTTATAATCTATTCTCAAACTCTTGTCGAACCTTTTCAAATGTTGGTTTTGCAATATTTTGACATTCTTGAATTATTCTCTGTCTTAGTTCGTCTATGTTCGCCGGTTGCGTTTTAAATACGACAGATTTCAAATGTATCATATTAGTTTATTTTTTGATTTGCACGATAATTACTAACCTAAATGTAATGCTATTTGGTATGGTTGGAAAGCATTTTTTCAGAGCTTTCCAACGACGTATCACACATGGGGGGTCACTATTTAAGATTTAAAAGTTGGGGTGGCTGGGGCGCAGGGGGTTGGAGGGGGTGCGTCGCCAACTATGTCATTGTGATTCCCCCTCCGAATTACCGAAACGGATTTTGATTTTTTTAAATATCTCGTTTATTTACTAAGATATGGGGGTGGTAAGTTTTCAAATTGTCACCCTGTATAACGCTTGGAATGTAATTCTTTTTGCAGATCCCAACTATGACAGTCGAAGTAGAGGGCAATACTTACTTGGTAGGGATTGAACCTCGTCGAGGGGTCGACCCCAACTCTTCTAGCTCAATCAGCTTTACCATCTGTACAGACTTAGGGTGAGCTCTTGGGGAACTGATGTTACCAGGATGACTAGCAAAAAGCAGACCGCTGTTTAATTATCTATTCGTAAAGAAAACCAAGCCTGTATATTTTCACCCCCCCCCCTTCCATTGCGTCATTAAATGTCTTTTTTGTAAGCAGTGTGGCGGGTGGGGAAATTAGTGTTTCCTCCACTTTCAAGGCATCTTTGAGTACTTTCTCATCTTCAATTTCGTTGATTACTTCAGCTTTTTCAACGTCACCCACTGCTTTACACTCCTCGGTCTCATTAGAGTCCCAAGGTTTTTCGGCCCCTAAGCTTCTCAGTTTTCCTAGCTTTCTTAGGCCTCCTTGACTGCCTCGGATCCTTTGTAGTCTTTGGCATCCTTCGATATTTACAGCTTACTTGTTTATTCTCTTTTCTTTCGAAAAATTCCCCTAAAAAGTAAATAATATTCTTAGGTTCTTTGTGTGGTCCCCCTTATTGATAGTTTTGCCCGTCTGTTCTTCGTTCAAGGATCAGTGCTATTGAAAATGAGCCGGATTAAAATTCTGGTTTCCGAATGCGAGGTGAGTGACAAAAGTTAGCACACTAAAATGATTTCAAAAGGCAACAAGAACTAGATTTACAAACGAACCTTAATTTTGACTTTTGAAAGTTTTTATTTCACAAATAACCACTCGGCTTGCCCAAGCTACAAGAGGTTCTAAATATACTGGGTTCATAAACTCATGTGACAAACTTTAAAAAAATAAACATCTTAAATAAAAAATTATACACTAATTTTCCTAACACTAATTTAATGAAATTCGCCCAAAATAAATTTAAATAAAATGAAATCGCACTTGAATGAACTTGTATGGTCTTTACGGCATGCGAACTTCTTACTGTTCAAATTAAACGATAACTCCTTTATTTTTGGTTGTGATAATAACCTTAAGTGCACTTATTTTCAAAAAAACGTTGTAGACGAACTTAGGTATATGACGCAACACTGAATACCGGTATCACACAAACACTTGATTACTCTTTTTAAACGACGCAATCTCCAAAAACTGCATTTGAACCAATTTAATTACCACTACCGCAGTAAAAATGGCAGGAATTCCAATATTGCCCCCAAGACGACAACGCCTAATCGTTTTTGAGTATCCCATGGTGTCATAAAATTCGTCTAACACTTATAATAATAATAATAATAATAATTTTTATTTCATGTGCAGGCAGTACAAAAAGAGCTTACAATCGTCATATGGAAAATGAACACAACATATTTATATACATTTATAAAGATATAGCGGAATTTAGATACTCATCTACACTGTAAAACGCCCACTTTACTAAATACCGTTTGATTATTTTTCCTTTTTCCTTTTATAAACAAGCGAGATCGCCAACCACTTCCACTTTTTTTAAATCAGTATACTATTTTGATCATAAATTGTATTACATATTTATTGTCTTATCTAAACTCATTTACATTTAGCACATGTTCAATTTTATACAGAAAATAAATAATAAATAAGGTAAAGAAATTGCACAGGAAGAAAACATCTGCAAACTTTATCTACATTATTAGTTAATAAAGAAACATCCATAGCGCTGGTAAGCCTTTCTCAAAATCATAAAAAGAATTGCACAAATTGAAATTATACGTGGTATCACAACAGTAGCTATCGTATGCAAAGAACCATTTGGAATGTAATTTTCCCGTGTTTTTGATGGTCATGGTGACAATGACAGCATGAAGATCAAGGCGCAAAACAGAAGAAGTGTGGGTAAAAGTTCTGTGGATATCAACTTCGATGAAAACATTTCAATACAACTGCACTTCCTGGTTAATGTAGGTACCTACCTACGTAGTAAAGCAAGACTAATCACGTTTCTGCATAAGGAAGTGGATGCATCATACAGTATGCGTGATAAAGTTGTTCAAATCATTATGTTGGTATTTTTTGATAAGATGTTGATCTTGTTGTAATGCTACGGGCTTTATCTTCTTCTTTTCCTACCAACAATATTTTCTTTCTTAAACCAGGAAAAGGAAAAGTGGAAACTCAACCGTATTAAAACGCTTCCATTCTCCAATTACTTCCTCGTTCTTCGCAGCTTTAGTGGATGAGACCCAGTTTTATCTATCATTGGGGTAGGAAAAACGTCAGTCGATAAGTTGTACAATCATCAACACCTCTGAGGCTGTTATGGATGTGGGAAAAACATGTTTCTGACACTTCACCCTGTTTCTACAGAAGCAGCTGATCTGCACCAACTACGGTACAACGCCTACTTGAAAGGCAATAATAAGCTTACACTTAAGCTTGACCGTTCGCCTCCTCATCCAACCAGAATTGTTGCAAAGCTATATTCATTTAGAATGTAGAAAATGAGACTCATACCTTTGAAATTTGGCACAGTTATTCCGCGAGTTTCTTCATGTACACATTAGGAGGCAGATTGTTGCCTAGCCATCTCTGTACCGGGTGACCCAATAAGACTGTTCCTCGGCCATATCTCGGGAACCATTCGTCATATGACTTAGGGGTAAAAAAAATTATTGGGTAAATCGGTCATGAAGAATCGCTGGAAAATAATTTCAAGTTCTAAAAATGACCAACAGAAGTCGTAACTGCCTAGGTAACTGCCATCTTTAATTTTAAAATTGCATTTTCTTTAAATTTCGCAAAGAACCAGTTTATCGATCATTTTCGTAAAAACAAAAACTCATTTATTTCACAAGCAAAGATGGTGTGGGTCGTTCAATTGTTTTTTTTGCACTCCTTCGTTCTAAATCGCGTTTTCCCAATAAAACACGAACGTCGGGAACGTCAATTTTACAAATGACTATCTACTTTCGCGCACTAGTGCCTAAAAATTCAACGAAATTATCTATTTAGTGCGGATCATAAACTAATAAGTAGTATGATGGAAGAGTAAAAAAAAAATATAAATACATTTTACATCATTCCCTGTAGTACAAGGGCAAAAATAAGCTTAAACCAGAAATTTTGAACAATAAATTGACATTTTAAATTTCTAGATTTCTACTTTATCGGCAAAGAGGACTTGATTTTTTCAAAAGAATTATGTCGCAAAAATCTCGCGAAAAAGATTTGAATTTATATAAATTCGATTTAACTAATCCGTGCAAAAAATAGAATACATATTACGTGCGTGAACACTATTTGCTTGATTCGCGCGAGATGCGTCGCTCGTGCGCGTAGCGCACTCGCGCCGCCAAACTTCGCGCTCATCTGCAAAATAACTGTTCCCACACTAATAATGGATTTGCAATAACCTGCTTTAACTTCTTAACCGTTGGACCGATTTTAACAAATTTGGTATGGTTGAAAAAAGCATTCTTTGGGCAATGAGAATCATATAGTTTTTTTAGTTGAATCCTTCTCCGCCAAGGGGCTAGTTTTGAGACTATGACCCTAATTCCTAAAAAAATCAAAAAAATTAAATGGAATGATATGACTTTTTCTTTATGAAAAAGTAGCCAAATAATATCCAAAGAGGCCAGTGAAAACCGTTTTTCAAAATCTCGTTCCTAACCTCAAATATTGGGAAAATGAGATTAATTAATTAATTAATAAAAATACTTAAATTTACTTTTTACGTATTTCCGGTATTTGTCGATGGCGCGAAAGAAAAGCACCCTACACTTTTAGGTAGGCATTGGAAAATTAAACAAATGAAACACGATGCATTATAAAATAATAGCAGCCGTAATTTGTAAATTATTCTGCTGTGTTTACATTCAGAAAGTGCAGT